TTCAAATGTTCTGTTATTTTATACGAATATTGTTTTAAAAAGTGAATGTGACATCTCAGACTTGTATCCGAGTCAGGTACGGGTTGGGGGTGTTACATTTCATATATAATTGCTAACTATTCTAAATAACTTTTAACTAAAAAATAGCTACTTCATTACTACACAGAAACTCATACATATCTTTAAAACATTTTTTCAACATAAAAATCAACTTTTCATCATCATCTTCTTCTTCTTCTTCTTCTCCTCAATTTTCATATTATTGTTTTCCTTTTTTTCATTCCTCTTTATAAGTCGTTTGCTACGTCAGATTAATAAGTCTACATACTTCTTTTTCTTCTCGATTTTCATCTCCTTATTCTCTTCTCCAAATTTCCTTCTTTCCTTATGTTCAACAAGTGTCGTCTTTATTGCCTCTTTTCCCCACTCCTCATCTATAGAAGAACTTTAATATGAATCGTCGGAGTCTGAGTCGTCAAACCCAAAACGATCGTTCGTGAATTCTTCATAATTTTTTCTCACAAATACATGATTTGATTTTTATAATTTTTTCTTCCTCACTTCTCATATAAACTCCATCAATACACCCTACTCCTATTTATACAAAAAAAATTATCAATATGACCATTGGAACTCATCACGCGCACATGACTAGTTCCATCAATTAAACATACGTATGTTACCCAACGACTATAAATAACTACTTTTTTAAACAAAATAGAATTTATCACCTCGACATAACAAGTTTCATTATTTTATATTATTTTAAAAAATCTTAAATTAAAAATATTATTTTAATATAACAGTGTGACAAGTTCCAAGAAAAATAAAAAAAATATTGGACCCAACATCTGGATCTATTAAAATATATTTTCTAATGGAACTCGACATATCGACGTGACAAGTTCCACGAACATTGTAGCAAATGTCGTAGTTCTCTAAATAATTTTCTTTGTGTCATATTGGGCTAAATAATTAGCCCGCCTGGCATAATGGACAAAACAACCAAAAGGTCTCCCCTTCTCTATATTTAGGATAAAATACGTATTTAGTCACCCAACTATCATTTTGATTATGTTTTAGTCATTCAACTATTTTTTTTCAAAACTATCATTAACATTACGTTTTGTTTTATTTTAATCTCTTGACAATAAAAAATCAACAAAACTACTAATATTGCATTTTTTATTTTTTTCAATGGTAACATAACACTACCTTATGGTGACACATCAACATCATTATTAACTTTTTTACGATAGGTGACCAAAATGAAACCGAAACACAACATTAATAATGATTTAAAAAAAAGTTAGGTGACCAAAATGAAATCAAAGTGATAGTTGGCTGACTAAATACATTATTTACCTTTTCTAAATCCACTTTATTAATTTTGATTATATATAGTTATTTGGATATAAAGTGCGTGGAGGATGCATATTTCCAAACACCTGATAGATGCAGATGGTGCGAGGCAAATATCCAGAACTTGTGATATTATGTTTCCAACTTTGTTAATGTGTGAGCTGAGGATGTGCATTGGTTGCTAAATCTGAAAATATTTTATAAAGTTAGAACAAAAATTGTTAATAAAATTGTCCTGGTAATTGGTTAAGCAAAAAGTGTGCATAGATGAACCTTAGCAAATCCGAAATCCTTCCATTCTGGTGCAGAAAAACAAGCATTGGTGGGAACTGGACATGGAGACTCTGAAGAATCTAATCTAATGGAATAAAAACATAGCAACATATTTGGAGGTGTTGGAATTTCAGTGAAGATGATTTCACATACTCATAATAGACTTCCAGTTTTATACACCAAGAAAGAGGTGGTGCCTGTATACTTGGACGCCAAAACCTGTCCATCTGAACTTGGTTCAGAAAATGCCATCTCAGATTTTTCAATAACATGTCCCCTACAGAAGCTTTTCCTGCATTACACAGATTTAATTGGAACCAACCAGATGCCAAGAATTGAAAAGAAAAAGGTATACTCTGTGCAACACAATCACGCATCACCAAAACTTGAAGCCTTTATTGGGGTAATTATGCTGTGCGGGTAGTTAATTTAAGACTAATTTAAGATGGTTTACACTTAAAGTACTATCATATCCAACTTAAAAAGTTATACAATTTATAATAACTTCGGTTACAACGGAAAATGTTATACTACGATGAGTTTTGACCTAAAATGTTACACGGTCTATTCTAAAAAGTTAGACAATTAGTAATAATTTTGATTACAAACAAGAATGTTACATAAGTTTCTTGACGGTAACTTTTTAAGTTACAATTATAATAGTTATGCAATTTACATGATTTGTTATGTAGAATGTGATCTTCTCAATTTCAACCTAAAATATTATCTAGTTTACTCTGAAAAGTTACGCTCGTGGTATTTTCAGTTACAACCGATTTCTACCTTCTTTTAGTCTTATATTAACAGATTGTGCTTCAGACTCGTAAAGAACAATACTGAGTTAATGATATTAAAGCTCAAGGGGTTTACCTTACAGCTTCCAACAATTGAGTGGCAATGCCTTTTCTTCTGCTGGAAGGAGTGACCCAGATTGCTCTTATGCCGCAAACAGCACGTACCCCTTCCTTTCTACACATAGTTGCTCCGGTCCGGCTTTCGTGTGACACCTCGGAAGGTGTTCTTTTTATGATTTCCCTTTGCAAAACAATGTCCCCAAACCGAAGTTTGCCTGAGCTTAACCTCGCTTTCTTTTCCGTCGCACCGTCGCGTCTTTCGCCGACCGAACATGAGAGGACTTCGAAAGCTTCCTTTATTGGTTCTGCAACTAGACATCCAGCAATTCGTTGGGAGGAAACGAATAGGTATACCTGTAAACAGTATAATGGAGACAGAAATTGTTTAACTTTGCAACTATTTGAACTGTAATACACTGACATAGAAGATGATCAAATGTAAGAATCATTTACTGATAATTGGGATAAATGAATTACATTTTCTTATATAATGTGCCAAATTGTAAATATGCAAAATGCAATCACATTACCTTGCAAAGCTTGTGAAAAATCCAGCCCTCACCCAGCTCAGTTTCCATCATCTTCACAACCTCTTGCACCTGCTAAAGCAACAGTATTGCAATGAAGAACCCCACAATCATCAAGTCCAGAGGTAAACTGTGTGATAATCTAAAAAGAAAAAACCCAAAATCTTGACCTTTTTCCTCTGAGCAACAGGATCAGATTCCAAAACCAAAATGACTCGACCACGTTCGCCAATGGGCATAAGAACAACCCTCTCGTTTCTCCATCCCTTCAAAATGAAGCCCAATAAAATGTCAAATTTTAATACTTCAAATATTAGCTTATGGATCACACATGTACATACCTTGAATTGAATCCCAAGAGTGAAATTCTTATGAAAAACGGAATGGTTCTTTTCATCAGCTTCATCCCCAGGAGAATACTTGAGCCCACAAGTTGAACAACCATGGAGAAGAAAATTAGATTGGCCTAACTCCAAATGGAACTGTGCATAATTCCTCTTCTTATTCAGATTTCTCCCGCTTGAACCGCATTCTTCCGTTGAAAACCTTCTATCTAAAATGGGATTTCTCAATTTCTCATCGCTTGATTTTTTTTTCTTGTCAATCCTTCAAAAGAGAGAAATATTTTATAAATCTAAAACCCAGCAAAAATGGCATTACTTCTTTGGACAGAAGAAAAGAATACCCTTCAAAATTTGAAGCTCTGCGAGTGTAGGTGTTGACAAAGATGTGCTGACTCTTTTCCCAGGTGGCCAATTCATGGTTCTCGTCATGGCAGAACTGTGGAGGTGAATCAGAGCATTCACTTGACATAGAAGGAGACGGCGGCGGCGGCGGCTTGAAGAAGGAATTTATTTTGGATTGCATTTTGCTGGTTTAGGTCGATGATTGATTGAAGTTGTTTTTGTTGCTTAGGAATTGGCGCTATAAAGATTTTAAAATTTTAGTTCCCACACTTCAAAACTTCCCGCCATTCCGGTATTACCAATTTTTATATTTCCCATTTTTTGGTTGTTTTTTATGTACATATATATATATATTCGGCAAACTATGCAGATAGTCCCTTTTGTTATCGGCCTGATCAACTTTGGTCACAAAAAAAATTAAGTGAAAATAGTACCTTACATTACTGGCTTGTCTGATTTAGATCCATATGCTATTAATTTTGTTTAATCCCCTTTTATTTTAAGTCTCTTTTGTTGAAGTCAATAACATAACTAAGGGACTAAAATCGAATGTACCGATAAAGTTAGGGATTTAAATCGGACGGACTGATGGAGTTACTGACAATTTCCCTTTAATTTTTTTTCAGTAATCAAAGTCGATCAGACCGAAAATATAGAGGACTGCTTCCCATTTCAAAGTTCCAGTTGTGGTTGGCTAGTTTAGGATTATTCTAAAGAAGATAATTTTGAAAAATTATGTTATTCTAAAGTGTTTACAAAAAAAATTTCAAGGGTAAACTACACCGACTACCATCAAACTTTAAATGATGACTCGTTTATACCATCAAACTTCATATTGACACGTTTCTGGAGGATGTAATATTCGTACGTTTTCATGAGGATGAAAATGGTCGTTTTCAAGAGGATGATTCGCAGGAGGATTTCTCCGTTTGGCCAGAATTTGTATTCGGGTCCCATCGACACCACAACAACGTCGCTCGCCGTTTACTCGAAGCCGGATGACTCGAACAACGTGACCTTGAAAGTTGAAACGATATTGGATCACGCTTTCATCGATGTGAACTCGATTTTAGAAAAGAGAAGAATCGTAATAGTAACGGATTTGACATGATAAGGATAATATTTCAAGTGAAAAAGATTGTGAGACGGGAAATTAGTCTGTGGCAATGGCTATGGAGTTGTCGATGCGAGAAGTTCCGAAGCTTTCTGAACGAAAGAATCGAACGAAGAAAGTGAAGCTTGTTGAAGGTTATGACAAGGGTATTGAGTGCATGTTTAGAATGAAGAGATTGAAGAGGATTTGGAAAGACACTAGGAGGAAATATTAGTTGATTATTGTCGGACATCAGTTGAGGTCGGGTGGTGAATCTTTGATGACGGTGGTGTTAGTTATATTCTTGTTATATAACTTAATTGGTGCTATTGGACATATATATTAATTTTGTTAAAAAATTTATAAATTCTTAAATTTGCTTTGTTGTTGAGTGTTTAGTATTGGTTTTTAATGGTTTTTAGTTCGAATCTCATGAAAAATATTTTTTTATAAACTAAAAGATATCATTTTGGGTTTTTTAGCATCAAAACAGTCACGTCAAAACGATGTCGTTTTGGTGAGATAACCAAATTAACAAAGTAACGACATTATTGCAATGTCATCGTGTATTAAATCATTAACGGTTGTGTAACATAATTGTACTTTACTAAACATTAGTGCTAAAATTGACAAAATTAAAGGTTTGTAATATAAACAAATTGTCGCTTAAAATTTGATGAAATCTGGTATAGATATCCAAAATTCAAATCTCCATTTTAAAATTTAAAATAAATAATATGATTGGCAACTATAAATTTGTATTGTGAAAGTCCTACATCCAGACATGGTGAGTAAGGTGAGTAAGGTGAGATGTTCGGGTGAGAGAAGTTGTGTTTCGGTGATCATTTTCAATCTTTCGGAGCTCCTTCATCATCAAGATCTTTGGTTAATATTCAATAAATATGGCGAGGTGGTAGATTCTTTCATCCCTAACAAAAGAAGGAAGAGAAGAAGCATATTCGTTTTTGTTCGCTTCAATAAATTGGAGGACGCGAATAAGGCTATCATTTGTGCTGATAGATCTAGGATTCAAGGAAATATGATTAGAGTTTTCATGGCGAGATTTCAACCTCGTGATGCCTTTTGGAGAAAGAAATGTGCTGTTGCAAAATCAGATGAGATCAATGGTAGAGAGGAGGATGTTAGTCTATTAGAGGTTCCCATTGTAGGTGTCGTTGACGAAGATAAACTATTAACTCTTAGAGATAACTTGATAGGTTGGTGCAGAAAATTTACAAAAATGAAAGAGTTGGCTGCTATTATGCATAAGGAAGACATTTTAGGTTTAAAAATTATGAGGTTAAGTGGTTTAGCTATTTTAATCATCTTTGAAGATGAAGAGAGTAGGGATTTTACTCTTAATAATCAGATGGGGGCGTTGAATAAACGTATTTGACAAAGTGGAAGTGTGGTCGAAAAACTTTCATTGCAGCAACCGTCGGACATGGTTATCATGCAAAGGGATTCCACCTTTTGTGTGGAGTCATTCAACTTTCAAAAAAATTGTAGAAAAATGGGGAACTCTTATCTCCATTGATGAAGGGACTTTAAATCCCGGATCCTTTGATAGAGCGTTGTTTCAGATTATTACGAATTGTCAAACTCGAGTGGAAGAATCTTTCAAATTGAAAGTAGGGGAAATGATGTTTATTGTTTTTGTTTCTGAGTTTGAATCTCGTTTCAGTCCGGAATCTATTTGGGAAGATTCGCCTTTGATGGAAAAGGAAGTTGCATCCCCGTCTTCCAAAGTGGGGGATCTCGTTGGTGTCTCGTCAGTTAATTCTTCTGAGTTAGTGGCATGTGTTGGATTGTCTTCTCAAATGGAGGTAGTTCATGAAGAAAATCGAGTGTCCAGCGATGGAATGTTTGCGGGTGGTGGAGCGTGTTTAGGAGCTGAGACAGTTGGCGTAGCTCCTTGTTCTGAAGAGGTATGGGCTGGGGAAATAGATTCCTCGGCAGTGCGTAGTGGGCCAGCTGCGCATGGTTGCGTTTGTAAAGGGAGTGGCACGCATATTGAGTTGGTGGATGTTAATAGGGAGCACGTTGGGTCTATGGTGGAATTATGTGATACACTCGAAACTAATATGAAGGTGCATGAAGTGTCGTCCACTTTATTTGTTGGCTTGCACGATGAAGGTGAAAAGCGGTCTCCAGGTGTGGAGAATGTAGGCGCTGTTCCTAGAATTGAAGAGTTATGGGCAAATGAATTTATTTTTAATTCTAATTTCCCGTCTTTGTCTAGTGGGACAGCTGTGCACGAATCATTTTGTTTGGGGAGCGGATTTTCCAATGCTCTGGAAGTTAGTAATATGGCGCACGGTGGGTCTGAGGTGGTAGTGTGTGATGCTATCGAAGGTATCGTGCAGGTGCATGATGTGCCGAACACGCCTCTTGAGGAAGTTAGTTTGGCGCATGTGGATAATATAGTGGAAGTGTGTGCTGGTTCCGATGTTTATCCATTAGAGGTGTCGTTTTCGCCTTCGGATGGGTTGAATGAAAAGGTTGCGCATGTTGACTTTTGTCAGAGGAGTGGTAATTCTAATGCTATGGAAGATTTTAGGATGGCGCACGTGGGTCTTGGAGTGGAATTGGGTGCTGCCCTCGATGGCAATGTGCATGCACAAGTGCTGCCGATCATTGGTGGCCTTATGGCAAAAAAATAAAGAATTGGTAATGGTTCAATCTCAAAAGCCAAAGCACGTTATTTCCATTTCAAAAGATAATAATATTTTATCAAAAGTTGCCAAATGCATGCACGTGAATGTTAACAGAGGTGTTTGCACTAGAAGCTTTTTCAAAAGTAAGATGAAACATAAGAGGAGTCGAAAGCTGTCTTCAGCTGTCAAAAGTGGTTCGACTGACCGAGGTACCTCTGCGAGAGACAATTCAGCTCATCGGATGGAGCTTTGTTATGGCTGAGCAGATTTCGATTTAACTGTGGTTCTGTTAGGGTTTAAGGGTTTTGTTTTGTCCATTGTCGCACCTGTGTGTTTATCTGTTCGTTGACCCGAAACCATTTCTGTTGCTGAAAGGGTTTTGTTCGAAACTGCTGTTTCTTCTCTTTAGTGCGGGTGATCTACCTGAAAGTTTCGGTTGTACAGCTTGTCCTTGTGGATTCTCTTTAATTAGGGTCAGCTGGATAGTCTCGTGAAGTCCTTCATCTCTGGTAATATGCTTCAGTCCTTGGACGAGTCTGTAGGCAGCTAGTTTTCAGCAAGTGTGGTTCTCCATGATTCAGGGTTACTCTTCGATCTAACTCTGGTCGCGGGTGATGTTGGTTTTGACGTGTTGGTTCGCTTCTTTGGTCATGCTATCAGTGTTTGAACTCGTTTCTGTTCCAAGTTCATTTTATTTAGTTTATGTGTATTGGTTTTTTTGAATCGATTGTGGGTTTGTTGTAGGGCTGGAGTTAGGTTTGTGTGATATTACATCTGTGTGTTTGTTTCTTACCTCTCAAGGCACACTCTTTTTCCTTCACTTAGGATTAGGGTGGTTTTTTTAATGAGGTGCTCGAGATGGTTTATTTTGTAATCATTTGCAATAAAAATTTGCTTTCGTGGTCGCATAGTCTTTGTCAAATCGATTGGTCAAGTTCTGCCTATTTATCTTATGTACTGCTATCTTTTGTCTTATGGAATATTCTTCGATATTACCCGCGCCCTCCGGGAACATTGTTGGAGAAGCTGACCAGTTGATAGAGGATATACACTCCTTGCATGGTCGACTCTTTTGTCAACCGAAGCGTGTTAACGACATTGGTTTTTGAGATCTCTATGCTTTTAAATAGAGGTGGCAACAAGTCATTTAGATAGGCTTCGGTTCGTTTCATTTCAATTCGGGTTATTTTGAGTTTAGACTTTATTCAAATTGAGTTGAGGTCGGGTTTAGTCATTTTTGGTTTTAGTTTTATTCGAGTCTATAGTAAGTCGAGTCAGTTAAGGTATTAGGTTGAGACAATATCGGATCGATTAATTTTTGGTCGAATGAATATCTGATCAATTATTTTTGTTTTGAGTCAATTTTAGATCTTCAGGTCAATTCAGGTTGAGTTAGGTATAAGTAAAATCAAATATATTGAAAATTATTGATATATTTTTGTAAAAAAATTATTTTAAATCTTATCATTTGTGTTTAATTTCATTCTAATTCAATTATAATTTCGGGATTATAATTTAACTCAAACTCAACCTGTAAAATATGTTAGAGTTTATGATATTTTTATTAATCTAGACTGAAAAGTTTATGGTACGATTGATTTGATTAAAAATAAATTTTTAGTTGTAAAGTTTATTATCTATTAAAATTTAAATTACATAATTGATGTTTAATTATAAAAATAATAGTTCTATTAAATTAAGAGTAATAATAATATACTATTTATGTTTGAATAAATATTATTCTAAATATATTTTCAAATGATATATTATTATATCATCACTAATATTTTTAATTTTAATTATAAATAAAAATAAATATCTTTGTATTGTAAAAATAAGTTATTTGTGTAGTATAAAAATAAGTTATTATATATTAAATTTAAATGACTGTATTTTTCATATACAAAGAAATTAAAATAAATTTTAAATTAATTTTAAAGTTTTGGAAAGTTATTTTAAGTAGTCCCAAAGTAAAATATTAAATTAATAATGAGTTTGTATCATATGCCCCTAAAATATGACTCTCATTTCAAATTAATCCTTACTTTTAAATATTCTAATTTCATCCTTAAATTATGATTCTCATTCTAAATTTGTCCTTAAACTTTTGAACATTCAAATTTCATCCCCAAACTATGAATCTCATTCTAAATTGATCTTAAACTTTTAGATCTTTCAATTTCATCCTCAAATTCATCAAGATATGTAATCCATTTCAATCATAGTTTAACCTAATTTTTTTCAAACATATAATAATAACTTACCTAATGATTTTATTAACAAGATATGTGATCAGTATATATGAATAATTTAGAATAAAATTAAAATATTCAAAAAGTTTGGGGACCAATTTAGAATGAAGATCATAACTTTGGGATGAAAATAAAATTTCCAAAAATTTGAGGACTAATTTAGAATAATAATCATAGTTTAAGGATGAAATTGAAATGCTTAAAATTTTAGAGACTATTTTAAAATGAGGGTTATAGGTTAGGGACATGTGATGCAATTAACTCAATAATAATTATTTTTAAAAAACAAAAATTTAATTACAGAAATGG